GAATAACACGAGACTAGACCTCACTCTCATGAAGACTTTTTAAGTACTTGCTTCTGTAACATGTAAAAGCCAACATGGTTAGCTCCCATTTTGCTCAGAATTTGGAGGTGAGACCCTTCTGAGCCCGCCGGCGTAATAAAAGTCTGTTTTGCAGTAGTCTCGTGTGGCTTTAGGTTTGTTTCCTGGTCCAGTTGGCTGTAACAAAAGTAATACTGGATATATAAGAAAAAAGAGAGTCCAAAATTTTTGAAAACTGTACAAAGGGGGGATTCAGACTATGAGTTAAAGTTGTGTTTTTATTGCCTATTTGATTTCAATTAGGATTATAAGCTCTCCAAAACTTTTACTTTCACCCTCTGGAACTTTTGCTTATAACTATATCACAGTTGATTGATAATTTCATATGCTAAATTCCAAATGTCTATGTATGCACAAGACTGTCAAATATATAGGACCTGAACATTTTATAAACCTATGTCCTTCATTTATTCATCTTTCGTTCATTTAATATTTATTGAGAATCTATTGTCACTAGGCATTGTTCTAGGTACTAGGAATATAGCAGTGAACAAAGGAAAACACAAATCCCTCTCTTCATGGAGCTTATTCTGGTGAGGGGGGTTTCTGAATAAGCAGCTAGTAAAGTTTTATTTATTTATTTTTTTTTATCTATAACCTCTTTCTCATTCATAAATAATTTGAAACTGTTATAGCGATAAACACAATACAATAGAAAATAAAATGAAGAAAAAATAAAACTAGGAAAAGAGTGGTATTAAAACCTTGGTGAGCTTCTAAGAAATCCAGATAAAATAGCCCAAAAGATAGTTAAAATAATTCAAAGGTAATATAAACTGCAACTTATGTTAAATAAAATTAAAAATTTCAGTAAGTTCAAAAACATAAAAATCAAACTCCTTTAAAACTCTGATCTTTTTTTTTTAATCCAGGGTTCTGCCCCAGAATCTTCATAATGTTCTTAAAATATTTAGATCCCTGGATCTACCTCAGATCTTCTCAATTATAATTCATGTGGGGTCTAAAAGTATGCAGTTGTAAGAAGTTCCAGAAGTGCTTCTGATGTTCATTTCAAAGCTACTGTCCGGCAGGTGGGACTCCACAGAGGGCAGAGAGAGGAGCTAGGCAAATCCTCTTCCCCTCAAAAGACTGACAAATTGTAAAATATTTTCAAACCCACCATTTCAGGTCCTGGATAATCAACCAGAGTCAAACAACAACTTGAGAAGCATTTTTTCATGAAAAACTGCAGGATGTGGGGTAAGCATAGGGGGGCATCTGTGGTGGTCTTAACTGGCATTAAGAACATAACTCCCTGGCAAGTTCTCCCAGGGCAGGGCTGCCTGAAGGGCCTAATTGGATTTGAAATAGAGAGTGGAAAAACCCCACTTCCATGCATTGTCAGAACCATTAATGTTCTTAGTGGCAAAGGCTGTCAGCCAATTTCATAGCTAGCCTGAGATTTCCGTTCCATTTGGGCCATTTTCCAGAGCAGTGGACAAGTTAGAAATTTACCCAGGCCTTGAGAATCTTCCACATAATCCTGGCTGACCTAGAGGACCTAACAGGGCCTGGTGGAAATAAAAGGCAGAGCAGACTTGCAAATTCCTGAACTTTTTTTTTTTTTTAATTTCAGAATATTATGGTGGTACAAACACTTTGGTTACATAAATAGCCTTTGCACCACCCGAGTCAGAACTACAAGTGTACCCATCCCCTAGACCAACCACAGCAACAACAAAAATAAACAAATGGGACCTGAACCTTCAATGTTCATCCAACCCATAAATACACACAGCAGCACAGCCTGGAAACCTTACCAGACTGAGTTGTTTGAGCACACCCTCTGACCATCACTGACTGACTACTAAGATACACTGGCACATGGGCTACAAATCACTGTCTTAGATCATAACTTAAAATATAATTTTAAAAAAATGAAGTTGTTACATGCTTCTGAAAAGCAGAAGGCAACAGAATGAATTTCCATGTAGATTTTTATTCATTTATTCAACCACTAATTATATTTATTTAACTCTGGACCAGACGCCATGCTTCATGCCTGGCTATAACCATTAACATGATAGATAAGGTTGAAATTAAAGAGTTTGTATTCTAGAGCCAGAGTTGACTCTTCAAGGTGCCAGGATTTTGGCAGACCACTCTGGTTTTGCAAACAGTCTTGAACTTCTAAAAGTATATATATTTTATATGACTTATTTTAATATTTTAACTAAGAGGTTTGAAGCAAATAGAAATAATTTTAAGTGCCAGTATTTTACTATATATTATTTGGTACAAAAAATGCCATTAAAATATAACTAGGAGAGCAATGTTCTAGTGCTGGCTCTAATATTTCCTATCTGAGTAGACTCTCACAAAACACCCTCTGGAGTTCAGTTTCATTATTTATAAGATAAAATTTCTAAGGTGACTTCTTGATCTTAAATGTTATGATTATTTATAAGGACATATAAATGATACATATTAACATCAAAAAGTGTTTACAAAAAAGGCTATTCAAGCTTGTTTTAATGAATTCAATGCTTTCATAATTAGCATGGCATTTGTAAACACAAGCACATTTTTAAAGCACTATTTAAAGAGCTTAGTTTCTTAAATGGGTGAAAAATTATGTTTGAAACCTTATTTATAAGACTTGACAGGACACTTTATTTTAATATGCAGTTAAGAGTCCAACTTATGTCACAATACATTTATAAAAATAAAACTACGTGATCAGGGAGTGGGGAGAAAGGGATGGGTAAATTCACACCTAATGGGTGCAGTACGCAAAGTCTGCAGATGGGCATGCTTGTAGCTCTGACTCGGGTAGTGCAAAGGCAATATATGTAACCTCAACATTTGTACCCCCATAGTATTTTGAAATTAAAAAAAAATAAACTACACAGCTCATAAATAGCTAAATTTTATTGTATCTGGAAGATCAGAATGTTAACATCATGACCCTTGATATTTATTTTTTATTTACTTAATAAATATTATATAGTGATTACTATGTGCTAAACATTGTTCTTACCACTTTATGCATATCAATTCATTTAATCCTCAAGACACTCATAAAAAGTGGCTACTATTCTCATGTCTGTTTTACAGGTGAGGAAACTGAGGTCCCAAGGGGTTGTCTAACTTGCCTAAAGAATTAAGAGGCTGTCAGAGACTAACTTGCTTGTGTGCACTGAGTGGCACATAGCCTGGATTCAAACTCATCTTACCCCCAAGTCCCATGCTCCTATCAACTCTGCTATGTTGCCAAAGTTTATAAATCTATGAGCTTGTGTTATAAGACAGAATACCTAAGGAAGGAAATGAAGATAGTCATTACAAAAAAGAACACATCTTATTTTCTTACATGTGTACATACACACAAAATCAAAAGAAGACAGCAATCAACAGAGTAGCCAGGATAGGGAAGGCAAGATCTTTAGTGTTTTTAGATTAAATTTCTAATGCCTTACTTTAACAACTCAAAAATAAGACATAAATGTTGTCATAAGCAAATGTGTTGCATATATAACATCTACACACAACCTTATGCAATACCAAAATATGTCATTTTATAGTTTAACATACGTAGGACAGATATGTCCCTTATTTCATGTTTGAAGGATTATCTTTCTATTTTAATGGTCCTCTCCTTTCTCTACCTTAAATAAATAGGCATCAATCTCACCTTCCAGGATATTAGTTAGCTAAATTGCTTTAGTCCCAAGGTGCACCTAGCCTATAATATCATGCACTCTTGCTTTCCTCACCAAACACCTTTGTGTTCCTATCCATAGTGACATTTGAATTCTTTTTCTGCACATTAGAAGATTTTATACTCAGATTCTCCATTTTCTCTGTTAGCGCTGGGAGATTATTTTTGAAAGAAGTTTTTTATATCAACTGAAGATGTTTTATATGGCTGAGATGTTCATGTCAGGCCTCCAAGACATCCTCATAAACTTATCAAAAAATTATGATAGAATTCCACTGAACAATGAAAATGCCAAGAGACATGAAATGGGATAACATAGAAGACTTTAGAAACCTCTCATTAGTGAGAAAACACACAGGCACAGAACAAGCGCAGGCAAACGTCAACGTCTCCACTGAAAGACCGCAGCAGTTAAAAGAAAGGTGCAAGCTAATGGCATGCCAGGAAGAAGCTGCCCTCTCTGGTGCATCACATGGCATTCATTTCTGGAAACCTGGAACCTATCCCACACTGCCTGGTGTGCTTCTGAGCTAGTCTTTGTAGCAAAGAGACGATTTTGCTTAACTTTTTAATTAACGTGTGTCCTTGCTGATAGACATTGTGAATGAGGCAGTTCTTCCTTCCCATTATGGCTTAGACTTTAGATTTAATTACTGTGGAAATGAATCAAGAAACATCACTTCGGGCATAGCATTTTAAATGTCGGCAGAGGAACAATGTTAATTCTCTATTTTAAAGAATCAGTGCCATTCCATCTTTATGCTGAGTGATATGAAAACGATTTTAGCAAAGAGGTTACTGACCCAGAGACCCTTACCAGGCCATGGAGAAGATCATTTAGTTGAATGTGGAAAGGCTGTGTTTGGAAAATGAGTTGGATTTATTTTGTGTGTACTTGTAAGTACTTATACGTCAAGAAAATTTGCCCTTCAGGTGTTATATATGACATGTTCAGGGCCCTTTAACTAATGAGCTAATGAAATATCATATATATAATCATGCATATCATCAAATGTGTGCATGGGCACATTTTCTTTTATTGCCTAAAAATGAGTGGAAGAATAGAGATACAAATAAATTACAGATAGGAAATAAATAAATTTTACTCCTCACCTTATGAGCTGTAAGCCATGGAAATATAGCAAAGTTCCTAAATATTTAGTCTTCCAGCAAAATAGATATTTTTGAAAAACAAACAAACAAACAAAAATGACCTTAAAAGGAAAAAAAAAACGTGAAGACATACGGAATAATGGAATACCTTCTCATGCAATCCAATGCGCGGATAAAGAAGTCCTTGTGCAACTGGTGTTCATCTCTCAAGATTGAGCACTGCTCAAGCGTCACTGACATCGAAGTCCTATCTTTGGCACTTTTGCAACAGGTGAAACGAATACCATTTAGTTTGCGACAAATCTGTAACACACGTGTTGAAACAGTTATTGCTCATTTGTAGATCACTATAAAGTGTTGGCACTCTCCAAACACTTCTAAGCTAAACACACCAAATATGACTTGGTTTATGTTAATTATAGTCAATTGGTTCAATCTGCCCCATCAAATATAAGAACATTGCCTTTTCATTTCTAAAGCCAGTGCAATAGATCTATTTTACTTAGTTCTTTATACATGAGTTGTGGGACTGCTGAAGCCAAGAGAGGTGTGAAATAGCCAGCAGAAGGGGAAGTGCTTCCCAAGAGGGTGGCTGGTCTGCAGTGGATGATGATGATAACAATAGTTTAGGAATAACAACTTAATGGTAAAGGGGGAAAAATCCTATATTCCCGGGATCAGACACTTGCTTTGAATCCTAAATAGCTGATATTCCCTTATTTTACATCTACAAAACCTTTGCTAGTCTTTGTTTTATATTATGAGATTGTAAATGTCCACATGGTGCCTCACAATAGATAAGGGGACCACTCACTAACACGAAGAATGAGAAAACTAAAAATGGCCACTGTTTCTTACACATCTACTGTGTACCAGGTACAAAGCTAAGGCATTTCATAGACTTTATCTTTTAACAAACTTCACAGGAACCCTAGAGGAAGGTATGATTATTTTCATTCTACAGGTGAGGAAACTGAGGTTTGGGTAGGTTAAGTAATTTGCACACAACGGAGCAGAACCAGAATGCAAATACCAATCTGCTTGAGTTGAAGGACCCAGTCTTTTAACTATTGTTATGTTCTGTTTCTCTCTCTAATTTTTTCTTTTTGTTAATCTGATTTAAGTTAGAGAAGAATCACTGAGCAGCAGCACTCTCTCATGTCACTGCCTTATGGCTAACAGGTGAATTACTTCATTCCTTTCTCTTCTATCTCATGGTAAGGATAGAAGAGAGATACTAATAATCAACCTCAGCATCAATGCTGCTAATCAATGTATATTTAAAGTCAATCTGATGTGATATAACAAAGGCCTGCTTTATTATCTGTCATTAAGGGAGGACTTAAAAGTTGCCCTATTTGGGGAGAAAGTATAATAATGCAGTTTATTAAGGACTTTTTACCATGATTTAATTGTGATTCTGATACTTAAACCAGGATTTATACATCCCTTTATTAATTGAGAACTTTGGCACTTTCTATTGCCAACATAAGTGACTAGAGGAATGTGAGAGTATGATTTACCATATAATTATTTTACATCTAGAAAATTCTAACCCTTTCAAATAAACAATATTTCGTGGTTTATTTTTATAATTTCAAATATTTTATGTAAATACAGCTTAATATTTCATTTTTTAAAAAAAACTTGACTGCATTCACAGTAACAAAATAGGCCAGAATGTCTACTTATAGGTATAATTTTTTAAAGGAATTAATATTCTTTAAATTTATTGCTACTATTAATATTGTATGCACCTGTCCTATTTAGATGTTTTAGTATTCTAACTTTAAAGTCAAGTGGATGTGGGCCAATTTTATCAGAGTAGACAGGCTGAGTCTTGATTTCTGAATTACCACTTGAACTACATGGGTTTGATTTTATATACCTGATTGGTATTTGGCCTCTTTAAATTCTTATTTGTACTGTTTACATTCAACAAAGATAAAACCAAATAACTTTATATTTTTCATTTAGAATGTAAAACATTAACAAAAGCAGTATTTCATTAAATAGATTTAAAGAAGAGAGAAAAAATGAAATAGAAGTATACCAAGAATGGAAAAACAAGCACCACATATACTCACCAGCAAACTGGTATTAACTGAGCAGCACCTAAGTGGACACATAGGTACTACAGTAATAGGGTATTGGGCAGGGGGGAGGAGGGCGGGTATATAAATACATAATGAGTGAGATGTGCACCATCTGGGGGATGGTCAAACTCAGACTTGTGGGGGGAGGGGGGAAAGGGCATTTATTGAAACCTTAAAATCTGAACTCCCATAATATGCCGAAATAAAAAAATAAAAGTAAAAAAAATGAAATAGAAACATAAATAAAAGATTTTTGGAAAATGTCAAAAAGAGTTTCTAAATTTATTCACTTTAAAGGTATTGTTAAGGTCTTTGGTTTAAAAATAAGATATTGAAACTGAAATATCAACCTACAGAAATTCTACTAATCATCCATTCAATGGTAAGTGAGTAAGCCATATTTAGTCAGTATATACTATATTTTTTTTCAGAAAAAAATATTTTAAAAGTGTATGAGAGTTGCAGGAAAACTATTTTATGTATGCAAATAGAAAATTGCATACACAAAGAGAAAATGTGCATGTGTGTTTGCACATGGGTATCCTTAATTTGTTTCTTTATATAACTTCATAATATGTATATAATCACATATTTATATATTCCTAAATTGTCAGATGCCTTGGTAAATGATCAAACTACCTTTGTGCTATTATCTTATCAGTAAAATATAAAACATAATTTATAACTTACTACTGTGACATTTTTGTTAGAATTAACAACCATAGTAGTCTTTGGAGAGACAAAGAGAAGCCAGAATGGGAAAGAACTTTTAAAAACAACCGTTATGTAATACCGTATGGTGCTAAGTGGGACCAGTGTAAACGTGCTGCCTGAAAGCAACATTTCATATTGTTACCTTTGATGTTCTTCCCTGAGGCTTCAAGAAGGCATGAAGGGAAACTAAAGCAGCTTTCTTCTGCTTTGCTCATGATAAATTATTTTATGTAGTCTCATGGTAAATTATCTATTCCTTTTTCCCAGAAGAGAGTAAGTAATATTGGATTATAATTGAAGCACTGGCAGTAAGGGAAAGGTTTGTTTTAAATGCTATTGATAGAGAACAAATAGAGTAAACTAGAAGCTTCGTTAACCTGAACTCCAAATTATAAGAGTAACACTGAGTAAACTATAAACATAGTGTTTATCTTAAAGACCCTTCAGTGTGTTTTCTTCCTGATGAAAGGATGCATTCCTAATAAAAAGATCATTGGGTCTGAATGTGTAACAAAATTCACACATTTCATATGAGCTATGCTTCAATGATTGCCAGACAAGAGCTAAAAAAAGTTCCCTAACTCTTGTAGAAACCCAGGGTAGGAAAGCAGGAAGATCTTCCACCCTAAGGGTGCCATCAAATGAGAAAGAACTATACAAAATACAGCCCATTACCCCAAGAAAAATCCATCAGTAATAAATTCAATGCCAATATCTAAATTAACAAACACATTTATAAGCTCATTAGCTGAACAATATGTCCAGGAGCTTTACTGAAGCTGTGAATAAGAGATCTGATAACCACATACTGTTGAAGCCATATGTCTCTAGAACAGCAGTTAAAAATCCTGGTTGATATGGACAACTGACATCGCAACCTGAAATATCAAGAAAAATCACAGACACTTCATTTTAACCTCAGAATGCCAAACACATCCAGGGTTTATAAGAATACTCAATGAGTGAGATTTTTTTTCTCGCTGAGTGCACTTCCTTCCATCTTTTGTTCTGGTCTATTGACAGAGCTACCAACAAGAGTGAAAATGCCTAATCCCCTGGGTAATGGAGGGTGACACTTGGCAACCTGAAATGCAGAGGTTGGACCCTGCAGGGCAGAGAGCTCATAATGCCTTCTGGTCACGACATGGCAGGAAATAAGATTTGACATGAGAGTGCTCACCGTTGCAGCCAGCCACATAATTTCCACATTCTTTCTTTTTTTGGCTTGAATATTTTGATGGAGATTTTCTAGTAATCCTTTTAAATCATTTTGTTCTTGAAAATGTGAAATGTCTGAAGGGAACAAAAAAGGAAAAGGAAGGAGAAAAAAATGAAACAATGTTAGTATTAAACTGCCTATGGACTTTTCTTCAATGTATTTGCAAATGCAACTTTTATAACAACAACTGTCATTTGGAGCAGAGAATATCTCAGGATAATCATACTCATTAATCCATCTAATTTTATCCTTTACTTGGAAATATGCTTAAGTTTCCCCATTCCCTATTCTGTATAATGGTGGTGATGTCAACTGGTCATATAGTACTACTTTACCGGCAAGGGAAACATTTTTGATGAGGATGATGGCTGCTTCCTCACATTAACTAAAGCACAAGACAAAGATGTCATGAGATATAACCTTCTAGTTTTTTTGCACTGAGTGGCTTGTCTGAATCAAAGGAATATATTAAATTGAACATCTTAGGGGCAAAGGGAGAAATATGAAAGTTCAAATAAAAAAAACATGAAGTCAGTTTTCATAGCAAGTTTCTTCAACCTCAGCATTACTGATGTTTTGAATCATTTAACATTTTATTGGGGGGGGGGTTGGGAGAACTATACTGTGCATTACAGGATGTTTAGCAGCAAGCCTGACCTCTACCATTCACATGTCAGTAGCATCTTTCCTGCTGTGACAATAAAAAATGTCTTCAGACATTGCCAAATGTCCCTTGATGAAACAAATCTATCCTGGTTGAGAACCACTGAGGAGCACAGGTATGACATGGAAAGAGGAACAACATGAGGCAATGAGATACACGGGTTGGGAGTACTGCTTGCTCAAATATCTACATACTAAGACCTAAAGCAAGGGTAATAAATAGCGTACATTTTTAAATGAAAACCTGAGGCAATGCACATTATGAGACAAACATTCCTGAGACTTTGTGAGATGGAATTAAAGATTATAATATAGTGATAGAAACAAAAATATGTCCTGAGTGAGTGGTTGAGTTAGTGTAGTATGGTATGAAAATACATTATTCTAATGTAAATCCACAAACTGAGGGATGAATTCCCAAGAGCTTTGAGGCTCAAACTGAGGCTTTAAACTGAGGTTTAAAAAGAGGAGAATTCAATTAAAAAGAGGAGAAAATAAATAAGAACCACAGACTATACTTAAGTATATACCTGGTTACATTGAAGAAATAGATGACATATTCCTGACTCAGATCACAAAAATGACACAAATGAGCTTTAGTAGTAATGAGGCTTTGTGCTTTCCAAATTTGTACCATATGTTTCATTTAAGCAAAATAACATATCTGAGTAGTTCTTGCTGTTAGCTCCAGAGATAAAAGGAAGCATCCCAATGCACTCTTTCTATCAAAGAGCAGAAGTGGTTGGTAAAATGGAAACTTCCATTGAAAATAAGCATACATCATCTTGGATTTTATTACCACAGACTAGAGGAAGGTTGGGTGCAATTCAGGTATATACTCTATGTTAGGGAAGTTAGATTCAAAATATTCATATAAAATGTATGCATAACTCCAGTGTCTTAGTTCCTAAAAGGGAAAGCTGTCAAAAGCCAAACACTTACTTTGTAACTACAGATGATTCACACAAGAAAGAGAAAGTTTGATAAAATTATCACATTGCTGGGTAGAAGACTTTCTAATATACAAAAATTTTAACAGGACACAGTCCACAAATAAAGAGAAGGAGGCTGAATGCAGAATGCCATGAAAGAAGTTTTAAAACCAGCTCAGGACTCTGCGGCTAATCAAAGAAAGTGAGGACAATAATGGTGCTCTTTAATTTACAGCCATGGCATACAAGGAATAAGAAGTCAAGTCCACCATCACTGCTTTTAATGTTGATAAATGGCAACCCAAACAAACCCAGGGTAATCCATAAATTAGAATTATAAGCAGCCATTAAAAATTATGTGCAGGTATATCACTGACATAGAAAGTGTCCTTGACATTGTTGAAAGGAAAAATTGGTCTGATTAATGAGAGAATTGATTCATATAACATTTTGTGCACGTGTGTGTATGTGTGTGCATGCACCTGTGCATGTGTTGGCCTCTCTCTGTATAGGTATAGAGGAAGAGCAAGATATTGGTTTAGATATTAACAGTGGTCCTCTTTAGGATGCAGGATTTGGTGTAATTTTTCAAACACCTTTTTATATCACCTAGAATGAGCATGTGTTGCTTTTAAATAATAAAGTTATTTTAAGAGCAATGGAGAACAGAATACATGTATGAGAAAAAGAAAGAACCTAAATTATTATGATTATAATATAAAGACCCAACTTCAAAATTTCCACAGTATATAGTTGGGTGGGATAGATATTTAAACTATTAAGTGCAAAAAAGTGTACAGTGCACTATGACATAAGCCAGTAAAGACATGTGGGTTCAAGGGAAGGAATGGACAATTCTATAAGACTAGGTGGGTATGGCAGGGTGCCTAGCAAAGTTAATGCTTTGTGGCTACTGAGAGCATTTGAGGTTAAGGAGAAAATAGCAGTGACATGGAGACAGGAGGCAGTACTGTTGAAACAGGGAATGTGCAGCTCACAACATTCTGGGAGTGGATAGTCCCAGGGGCAGGACTCATGAAGGGTCTGTTCTGCTATGTTAGGCAATCTGGGAAAAATGAGAACAACTGTTGTGTTTTAAATATGGAGTTAACCATATCTGTAAGGTCTGTGAGCTTCTTACTGATGTCAGCTTATATGAATGACTTCCAAATGTTTTGAAAGCGATACAGAATAAAAAGTTTACTTTAACGCAGGATGAACAGTTTTGGAGAGGTAATGTACAGCAATGTGACTATAATTAACAATACTTTTTTGTGTATTTGAAATTTGCGAAGAGGGTAGATCCTAAGTGTTCTCACCACACACACACACACACACACACACACACACACACACACACACACAAGGAAAGTGATAAATATCTGAACTGATGGATATATGAATTAGTTTGAATATGGTGATTATTTCATAATATATGTTATGAAATCATCAAATTGTATACCTTAAATATATATAATCTTTAATTGTCAAATATACCTTAATTTAAGAAAAGAAAAAAGTATAAAACATCCCACAGTACTCACACACCCCTGTAACAAAAATTTTATGAAATAATATTTACCTTTAATATATACATTATGCTCTAAATGTGTTTTGTTCTATTTCATATTTTTTTTTAATTTCTGATCCCAATGCAAATTTAGTTAAGAATCCTTAGGATGAGCCTAAAAAAATTGCAAAGCACTGATTTTGAGCAACCGCATGTCCGAGATGCTTAAGTGACTGTTTCCCAAGGCTTATAGTCAGAGGAAGAGTCAAGCCTAACACCTGGTCTCCCAACAGTTATGCCAGTAATTTCTTCCAAATCTGTGCTGGTGTCTTTGCAACTAATGATTCTGAAAAATAGCTCTGGTATTAACACAATAGACCAACTTCTTTAGAATGCTGGTACTCTAGAACAAAGCATAATGATTTATCAAAATGATGTAGTTTCACTGTTGACACAGAAAAATTTTTAATAAGCCATTCTAAACAGATTATAAGGCTCTTAAATGTAAATAAAGCCATGGGGCATCCTTTACCTACTCTTACCCAATCAAGGTAGTGCATTAGAATAGACAGAAAAGATGTCTCATAGAAATTTCACACCTTCTTCCATGGCATGATTCTTAGAAGGAAGTCATTCTGATGTTTAAATGTTCAGGCCACTACTTTTATTTCTATAATAACAAAACTTGCTTTCTTCAGAGCACATCCCTGTCAACCCCACACTGCAGGCCACAGACATTCAGGTCTGGTTCAGAAAAGGATAATAATTAGTAATGATTTGCTAATAGGTGAGATGTCAGGATGTAAGGCTAGATCCTGATGTATCAACTGAAAACCATGGTATATACAGAACATGGATTGGTTTTAGGCTTAGATTGAGTCTCTTCAAGTGCAAATATAGTCAATAAGTTTTGTTTTTGCTACTTACTCCAGAATTACTCTAACATCAAATTTAGATGGGACAATTGAATCTGCATGCATATCTCCATAAGAGTAATCTTTTTTTCAAATGTGGTTCAAGAAAGTAATCAGAGGCAAAAGTTACAATGATTTTCATTGCATTACTGTTTATAATATTAAACAGCAAAATACCATTTAAATGTACATATAGATAATGGATATATTATTATATATTCATGAAAGGCAATTCATGTAACATGTAAAATGAATAAGCAAGTGCTATATGTGTCAGCATGGGTATATTACAAAAATTATGTTGAACAAAAAAAAGGAAATTGTAGGAGAATTCATATTAGGTAACAGCAATAATATAGTTAAATATGTAAAACTGTACCATATTTTTATGGATACATACATATAGAGTAAAAATGTATAGGAGCATGTAAAATACCAAATTCAGGATATTGATTTTCTCATAGAAGGAGAGGGTCAGGTGTGGGAAGCTGGAGGGGTACAGAAGGAGCTTTTACATTATCTATAAATATTTGTTTCTTGCAAAAATTATGAGACTAAGTAATGGGTTCCCAAATGTCTGTTATTCATGATTTGTTCTTTCTGTTTGCTTGAAACTTTCATAATTCTTTTTAAAGAAAGCACTGAGCCAGGATTCCAGGAAAATGATTTTTAATGCCAATTCTACCCATGCTTTGATGTGTAGTCTTGGGCGAGTTGCTTAACCCTCTGTCCCTATTTTCTCAACTGCAAAATGAGGACAATAACCTTGTCATGCTTCATTGACTTGTAGTGGAAAACAATTAATAAAAGTCTTGGCAGAAGAAGCTACCTTATTAAATTCTGTGTCAACTCTGAAAAACAGAGGAAAGTATTAGCAGCACTTTAAAAAGTTCATAGCCTGAGACAGGAAGCTTTCTTTCTCAGGAGAAAGTTGGAATTTATCCAAAGAAACAGTCTCCTCATACACAAGGGACATACACCCATCACAAACATTCACAACCCCAGTGACCACCCTCCCACCACTCCCCAGTGGAATGGAATAGCCAAGATGAGAG